ACTGCACCCGCGTTCGGTCCATGCCACCCTCCTCATCCCTTTTGGCTAATTGTCGCCATGGAAACGGATAACGGTCCAGCACGCCCAGATCCTGGTGGTACCTGCTGCTGCCGGGCATATCCCTGTGCAGCATTAAACCTGCTGCAGGATGGCTTCTTGCAAAACCCAGGTGGGTTTTACCCCAATCCTGCCCAGTGCTGGGGTGGTTTGCCCGGCTGCCTTCCCCCCCACCTGGCCCTGGGGAGCAGATGCAGAGGGGAGAGGAGCCCGAGGACAGGGTGCTCCCCTGCCTTTTCCTCCGGGAACTCGTAATCCTGGGGGATTAGCCAGCAGCCGTGTGGCGCTTCATCTTTCCAAAGCCCCGCACGAGTGCTAAGCATTATTATTACTATTATGATTAATTATTATTAAACAGACTCAGTCCCTACCACGCTCCGCTGCCAACCTTGCTGCGAGCGCTTTCCCGGGCTCAGAGGAGCTGAACAAACGTGCGGCGGCTCAGGAGTTTCTTCCCACATACAAAAAGCACATGGTGTTTGAATTCAGGCTGTAGTTTCTTCCCACATACAAAAAGCACATAGTGTTTGAATTCAGGCTGGAAGCATCGCGGGGATGGGTTTGGGCTGGCTGGGATGGAGGAGGCTCAGCGACTCCACTTTTCATACTGAAGTAACTGAGCATCCGGATCTCTTTGGACCAGCCGCCAGAATCCAAGCTCCTTCCCCAGCTGCTCCATCCCATTGCATCTCCCTGGGTGAGAAGGGAATCCTCATTTTTTTTTAAAGGAACCTTTATTTTTTAGGGGAACCTTTTTTTTTTTTTTAGGGAAATCTGCACGACCCGGTTTACCCCCACTCTGCCCAGCAGGCAGGAGAGCCCTGCACTGTGGCGTGGATTCTTCTGGCTGGATTGGAAATGTTGGATTGGAGATGCTCCAGGGGCCTCATCCCAACATGATTAAACAACCATTAGCCCTTCTCGCTTCAAAAAAATGAGGATTTACAGACACCCAAACCTCCATTTAAATGCAAATGTGGTGGGTTTAGCCTGGAACCATGGAAATGAGGAGCTTTACAGCAGCTGTGCCACGATCATCCACCTCTGCTTGGTGCCATCCCAGGAGAGACATGACCTCCTCACCCAGTGACAGGGAGAGGACCTGTGGGCTCCGTGGTCCTGCATCCTCCGTGTGATTTCAGGATGCTTAGCTCTTTCCCCAGGGATGCTGGTGATGGATCAGGCTATAGCCTGGGGGGTCTTCTCCTCACCAGCATAGCCAAAGCGATGTGTGAGGAGACACGTGCACCTCTCCTCATTTTGGACAGGGATGCTGCCTGAAGTCCCCCTAATTACAGAATTACAGAATCACAGGTTGGTCGGGGTTGGAAGGAATTTCAAAAATCATCTCGTCAAACCCTGCTGCCAGAGCAGGATCACCTACAGTAGATCACACAGGAATGTGTCCAGACAGGTTTATGAATGTCTCCAGAGAAGGAGACTCCACAACCTCCCTGGGCAGCCTGTGCCAGGGCTCTGTCACCCTCACAGTGAAAAAGTTTTTTCTAATATTTTTGTGGAACCTCCTGTGCTCCAGCTTGTACCCATTGGCCCCTTGTCCTGTCACTGGACATCCCTGAGCAGAGCCTGGCTCCATCCTCCTGACACTCCCCCTTGACATATTTATAAACATTTCTGAGGTCACCCCTCAGGCTCCTCTTCTCCAGCTGCAGAGCCCCAGCTCCTTCAGCCTTTCCTCCTCAGGGAGATGTTCCATCCCCCCATCATCCCTGGGGCTGCGCTGGACTCTCTCCAGCAGTTCCCTGTCCCTCTGGAGCTGAGGGGCCCAGAACTGGACACAACATTCCAGATGTGGCCTCCCCAGGGCAGAGCAGAGGGGCGGGAGGACCCCCATGCAAGGGACATAAAGAGATACCATCCAACTGATGGCAAAAACACCCTCCACCCATGTCATTCTGGACCCTGCCTTCACCTCCTACCCGCTCTCCTTCACCCACCGCCTACCAGCCCTGCCACCCCGTTCCCATCCACCTTCCTGCAGGTAATTACAAAGGACATCAATTAAATCCTTGTTTTCCCCTCCCTTCCCTCCTTACCCCACACACCCCGTTGTTTGAGGACCTGGCAGTGAATAATGCAGGAGGCTGGAGGGGGAAAAAGCTGCTCGGGTTGTTTCATTATTGATGAGAGATGACAGATCCGTGGCTGACAACCTGCCTAAGAGATATGATTAGCTGGTAAAAAATTAATCGCGCTTCTTAGGGGACCTAAGAGATGGGGGGGAATGGGAACGGGTCCTGGCTCGGAGAGGTAGTGAGTCCCTGCCCGGCCTCCCC